ATTCAGATGTACTTTCAAATCTCTCAAGGCATATATGAGCCTTTCAGTTGACAGAATGATTAACTCCAATTTAAACATTTTTTATTAATAATTTAGTGATGTTTTTAATAATATATAAATAATAATAAAGACTTAGCGAACCGGAAGGTTCGATGCTGACACTACCAATCGCTTATTACACACCTCCTTCCACCATTCGCCGTTACAAACCCAGGCCCTTCAGATCGGCTTTAACGCAAATCTTCCCACCTTCGCTTCGGTCTATCCCTCGGAGGTTTACCATTCGGTACATCAAATATAAACCTTTTAGGACTTCTTACGTTACTAAGCCTAACAATTTTACAAGCCCATTTGATTCACAGCAATATAATCACCTCAATTATATTAACTGGATAAAGTTTACGCGATTCGGCGTTGTGTAACCGTCTGAACTCTCCGGTTAAATCGTCCCCGGATATTCTACTCAACATTTTATTTTCAAAAACTTTAAGATGTTGGTCATCCTTTAATGTAAGCAGCCACGTTTCACAGCTATAAAGAACTGTAGGTAAGATAATGGTTTTGTGGATTCTAGTTTTTAAGTTCCGGTACAGAGGTGCGGGCTAAGTAGTTTTGTCACAGAGAAATAACAAGCATTTCTCGCCTTCAGCCTAACCTTAATCTCTTCTTCAATTTCGTTTTTTTTTTTTTCATGTATACAACAATAACTACTTTGGAAAAAAAGAAGAAAGAAACTAACTATCTTTCTTGTTGCGTTATCTAATATGAAATGGTGTTAAAGTGATTCTTGAAGTCCTATTATATGTAATTACACGAACATTAATACTTTATGAGAAAAAAATTTTATATATATTTTTTTTCATAAAACATAGTTATGTTTTACCATTTTGGAGGGGGCGGGGGCTTTATCCCTAAATCTCCTCTCCCCCCACCGTAGATCCGCCTGTGTGTTGGAGTATTGACTGGTTGAAGAGGAGCGAGATCAAAAGGATACAGAACTCATATCTTTCTCTGATTATTTTTTCTCGAAAAGGAAGGGGTGAATGTTGCAGCTCAAAACATTGTACCAGTTCGCCTGATCCTTCTATACTCAAAATAATTTTGAAAGCTGGTAAATCTTCATTTCTTATTAGCCTAACCTAACATTTTGGAATTCGTATGGGCTTATGATTAATGTCGGTTTTTTAAAAATGTTTTTTGAGGGAGCTTATCGCTACTGATAATAAATAACTTAGCGTTTAATGTTTTCAGTGTTAACTTTGGTTTCATAGTTGTGACAGACTTGAATTGGCTATCCAGAAGGAGGAACTCTGTTGCAATAGGAATAAGAATTTTTCTCGCGTCAAAAAATTATCAGTGTCGGATTTGATATTTTTCTAGTCGGTCGAACCGTACATAAGTGGGAAAGGAAGCCGACTAGTCGAAACCCAAATCTTCACGATCCACGAAAATTGGCATAATAATGGAAACAATAAATAAAAGTACCCTTTGAAGTTGAAGCTGAAAACTGGAAATCGAGAGAAAATCCCTCTTTCAAGATAAAAACCTTAAAAATCACCTCCTCGTCTATAATTTGAATCTCGGAGGTTTTTCGTTTGCAATTATAAAGAGCATTCGGACTGTTTTGGAGTTAGCTCTGGACAATGATGACATTCGGTTAATATTTAATATCCACATACAGTTTATTGAGGCTTTTGGTATTGAAGACGATTCAAGAGAACTATCATTAAACTATGAAAATTAAAAAAAAAAAATAATCACTGTCGGAAATTCAACAAGAATTTACATTTTTTTCGGTCAAATATTGTGTTTATTATTATATTTTTTTCCTTAAAAATGATGAGTCTTGACACCTCCAATTTTACAACTGAAATATTCAAAATTTTCAAACACGGAACTCTTAAATGCGGAAATTATATTCTATGTTGAAACTATACGAAATGCACCGAGATTACACGCTAAGTATTTCGAAATAGTATATTTGATTTTTGTTACTCATTTTTAAGAGGTGGATTTTATAATCCTGAATCGAATGAAGTAAAAAATAATTCGAAAACTTAACGAGAATTTGATATTGAGGCAGTATTATATCTTAAAATTTGAGAAATTATTATAAAAATTAAACTAATTCAAGTAACATTGTTGAGCGAAAATTTTCAGGATTTGAAAAGTGAATGAATTGATGAATGAGCTCTGTTGAGAATACTAGGTAAGGAAAGTATTGCGATCGGGTCGAATTTCCGATATACGGTTTTCGACGGATCTATACGTTTCGGAACCCACTGAGTACGAAAAACACATTTTTAGCCATTGGTATGACTGTCTGTGCCAAGATTTTTTTGCTTATTTTTTTATGAATTCTACCAAAGGGTAGTTTCTCTTCATGTTGTACATGTCATGTTACCAATGTCACATTTACTTGTTGTATTTTTAATGTAATACAGATGTAAATTTCATTAAAATAAAAAAAATAATTTTTTTTTAGTTTTTTGACTACTGATGCCTGTGACACAAATTAGGTGCTCCATGCGCAATAGTTGCTGCACAATAAATGAAATACATGTTTTTCTTTAAACTGTATCGCGAAAACGGCTCTAGCGATTTTGATGATACTTTCCTGTAATGTTCTAATAATCGTACTTTCAATTTTCGTACATTGACTAAATTCCCGAGAAAATTCAGGAAAAAAAGTTATAAAGAAAAGAAAAATGTTTTGGGGCCTAACTCGCTAAGAATATATTTTATAGTAAAATTTATAATAAAACTTTTGAGAGATATTTAAATTATCAATAAAAAAAATCATCGGAATCAAAGCAGTATTAGCGATGATACAGGTTATTCTATTTTCTAGACGTTTTAATTTATTACTTTCCTACCTATACTAGGTAAGGAAAGTATTTGCGATCGGGTCCAATTTCCGATATGCGGTTTTTGACGGATCAATACGCTTCAGAGTCAGAAAAGAAGGTAATGAAATTCCCTAAAAAACTATATAAAATCGTTCATTTTGGACAACTATTAACGAAGTTACAGCTATTCAATTTCCAATGTAAGATTACGGGTTCATATCCTGGTGTCAGAAAGGGCTGAATGAGGGAGAAAAAAGATAACTAAGTAAAAGTAAGAAAATCTGTTGCCCGCATTACACAAGCTTCACTATTGTTTGAAAAAATTAGGCTATGTCAAAACGTTTTTGATCAGAAATATTAGAGAATATTGAAATTGTTGCACTGATCTACCTTAAGCAGGTTTACATTGCTTTAGTTTATCAAATAAATCGTATTCAAATCTGTTCTTTGATCAATTTTCAGGAAAATAAATCCAATTCAGTTTTTTTTTTTTGTTTCTTGAAGGACATATGTAAAGATATAAAAACTTTTCTGAAATAGGTAGTAAAGTCGTGTGAACACACAGCAGATTTTTCTAATTACTGTTGTAAATTATACCCTAAGACGAGATATAAACACTTTTATCCTTTATAAACAAACAGAAAATTAACTTGCCAGATCTTGATTTTTCTTTTACCTCGGACTACCCATTAATACTATAAGTCGAAAGTATATAGATAATTTTTAATATGACCAATAAAATTGATTAGGGTGAACGCACAAGTGCTGGACAGTTTGGACATGAAATGTAAATAATAAGCTTCCTTGTTGATTTAAAGGTTTCAGTTTTTTCTAGATTGAAAAACAATGCCCTCTATTGACAACTGTATGAACAAAGTTCCCAAAAGAAGATTTTAGAATGATTATCATTGTTGTTTCTATAGTGCTCTTCAGATCGGTGTGTTTCATACCTTTCTACTAACAGTTTTGCTAAGAGTAAGTTGAACATTTATGCTCATAAGTGTTTAGATTTTAGAGTTTTCACTATGAAAATATTCCATTCACCATGTTAAAACTTCAGCTATTTGATTTTTAGCATTAAATCGAATTAAAATTAACGTTTTTAACGATTTTAAGGGGTGTCCATGACTAGATTAAAAATCGCCCCGAAACTAGTTATGAACATCCATGTCCATAACTGGTGCTCTGTACTTTTACGAAAATGTATATTGCTTTTGTTATTTCTGAGTCTAAAAACAACGGAAACTCGCATGGTCTTAGTTTTACTCTAAAACATCTCTAGCCAGTCTTTGAAAGAGGTGTCCATCACTGGGCCCGACCATGCCCATTACTACTGGGCGCACCGTGTTCATTACTTGACTATTTTATAGGACAGGTATTTTATTATACTACTTTTAGGTGTAGTATTTATATTATCAGGGTTTGAAATCGATTGAGACTACTTAACGGAAAATCTAACCTCTCAATTGGAAACAAATTATTAATATACAAGACGATACTGAAACCCATCTGGACCTACGGACTTGAACTGTGGGGGACAACTTAATTTTCGAACATCAAACGCATCCAATCCTTCCAGTCTAAAGTCCTTCGTACAATAGTAAATGCTCCCTATTACAAACAAAACTCTACATCATGATCTTAACATCCCTTATGTCCTTGACATTATTCCATAACGTTTCTCAATTTTCATAAAAACCTAATCCATCATCCTAATCCCTTAGCACAATCCTTATCCAGCTCCAGCCATCCCTACAATCCTCCACGAAGGTTAAAAAAGCAGTGGCCTCGAGATCTTTTGTAAATACGTCATTGGAGTCCTAGGAATGGCCAGCTTATTCGCTCAAGTCATGAGCGTATGTGGCTTTAGTGCCCTTTCTCAGTCTCCATTGGATCCCCATCTCAGTGGGGCAGAGAGAGAGAGAGAAGCGCTTTCTTTTTCTTATTTTTAAAATAATTTCTATTATTTTTATATTTGTATATATTGTATGAATGAGTTTCTTACATCTCAAATACTCAATGCCTTTGATTGAGGCAAAATGTATTTTTTTCTCAATAAAATCAGATTAAAAAAAATTATATTTTATAATGATTATCTTATAGTTACTTATTATTTTATACATACTTGTTAGAAATTTGCATTTGTTACAGATGTGAGGAATGGGCGAAAACCGGAAAACGGCCCGAGAAAGATGGTCGATATTACCAGGGACAAACCTATAAAGGTGACAATTAGAGTGATCGTACCCGTCAGGGACCACCCAAAGGTTAATTATTTTTTTTTTTTCAATTTTTATAATCAGAAAATTTTAAATTTAACTTTTTTAACAACGTTATGAATATTTAGCAATTTGAGAAGTTGGTAGGGGGTGTGGTCAAATAAATACTAAATTTTTAAAAAATAGGGGTTTTAATTGTTTTGCCGACGCTTCGACCCACCTTGCAGGTCTTCATCAGGGCTACAAAATATAAAAGGTGCAAAATATAAAACGCTTTAAAAAAACTGAATATTAATTGTCATTTATATATAGTATAACTTTTTTTTCATCATCATAACCTAGTTTATTTCTTTTTTTCGATTGATTTTATTTTGGCCAGATGTGATCTTTTAATTTTGTTCTATTTTGTTATTCTCAAGGGACTGTGTCCCAGAATAAAATTATTTTTCTATCTATCTATCTAAAAAAGCTATGGGAGCAAAATAAATAAATAAATAAAAATACATTTATACTTACATTCTAAATTTCTCTTCTAATAGTTTTTTTCTTATACAGATATATATATTTAATAAATCTATCCTAACGATATTACAAATCATGTTATCTTCTTAGTTTTTCAATTTCATTATTTGTTGACCTTTAGTCTCGTTATCTGTTTGCCTACATTTATCAAGTGTAACCTCCACAAGCTTGTTATCCACTGATATCTTATTATTATGTTAACTTATTCTTATTTTAATTTTACTAAACCATTACATATTCATTTTTCAATTTCTTTATTCGTCAATACTCATTTTTTTTATCCGTTAGTCTACAGTTATCAAATGTAATCTTTACTTGTTTGTTATAGACTCATTCCTTATCTTTTATCACAATCTGTTTACTTTTAACTTACATGCTATATTCTCCTTTGTTTTCTTTTTTTATATCTGTTTTATAGACAACTGTTTCTTATTTAATATGTACTTATAATTCATTAATTTCATTTTCAACATGTACCTTTTATATGTTGTATCTTTTGTAGCCCTAACGAAGAGGTGGGTCGAAACGTAGGGAAAACAATTAAAAATACTATTTTTTAAAAGTTTAGTATTTATTTGTACCTCCCGACCAACTCTTTCTCATATTATATCACGGTCAACCATCTCTACATCAGTAGTAATTTGTTTTAAATGAAATATCATAATTTATCTACAATGTGATTATATTGTCTAAATTTTTGTGTTGATTACTTGATTGATGATGTCTAAAACCATAATTTGTTAAGAAGTGCAATTTATATCATCTTGACGATTAGTAGAAATTATAATCCGTGGTACAGTCCCCTTTTCATCGAATTATTAACATCTGTCTAAAACTTCGGGAATAGCTTCTTCTATTCTTAATCTGCAACTTTATTATTTACGAATATTCTCGGAACAGGGCGTTTTCAATCTGGAGGTCGGCAAACTTCGTCTATTCAATTTGCTACCCAGTTGAATCGTATCATAATTTGATGAAAAATTCAAGAAATAATGCGGTATATAAATTTATAGGTTTCGATAAGTTTAAGACGGGTGTTAATAACTCGATAAAAAGAGGTCTGTACCACGGACTATTAGTCCAGGAAATTTTTAACTCATTTTGTTTAGTTTTTTTAACAAGTTCAAAGGTATTCCTTATTTATTTTATACGTTGTATTCAGCTGAACTGTTAAATGGATGGCCGTAGAGATAACTTAAAGGGTTCTTACTTCATCTTCCACTTAAAATTATATTATTCGTTTTAAAATTTTATTTTCAAACCCGCCAATTCATTCTGAATATACCTTAACTAGCGCTCAAGTCTTGCTTGCATACATAGCAACTGGTGGCCACAACAATCTAACCCATTCACATCTTATTAGTAAACAGCCACCACAACAATGCCAACACTGCGATAATACACTTACAGTCAGCCACGTCTTGCAAGATTGTTCTTTTGACATCTCAAATTTAATCAATTCAGGACTTACACGACCAATAATAAAATTATTAAGTTGGTGTTACACTTCCTGAAATCGAACAATTTGTTTAATAAAATTTAATAGCTTTTAAAGATGTAGGTCAGATATAAATAAAAGTAATTTACAGGCGTCGATGACCTTGAAGTTGTACGCCTTAAAGCCCCAACCAATAACAACAAAATAGTAACTGTTAGAATTATAATAACTTGCAGTGAAGACTTTATAAGTAATGTTTTTATTCATAAAGTTACAAATGGCATCTAAAATACAGAGTAATATACTATGGATATATGGGTTGACTACATGAGTTCACTCCAGGTGTCTTACAGTTAATAGTATGACATCAGGGATGCAACTACGTGAGTGATTTGGTCTGAGGATCATATATTCAGGAATAGTAGGTGGGGGGGGGAATCAATTCTGGACGGTCTAGGAAGCGTGTGAATGAAGTTATAACTATTAAGAATTGATATCCTTATCTTTTAGAATTGATATGAAGTCTGTGAGACAGCGACCTTTTGCTGAAAGCTGTTATTGTTCCCTAAGTTTTGATAATGGGTCTTGTGTCCAGTCGGTACATTCTAGATAACTATTTCTAAACTATCAGAGATAGCTTGACCTGGCTATCTAGGGCTTTGTGCTTCTATGCTTTGATAAAAGTTATGAGAAAGGTCAATGCATGATTCACCAATTGCCATATTAAATAAAATAAAAGTTAAATTAATATAATTATTATTATTATTTGTTACGGATTAAGTCCATTCCGTAACTGTTCGATAGTTTATTTTACGTAAGATGCATCAGCTTTACTGGGAGAAGTTTCGTCTACCCTCGTTAAGGACATCATATATTTGTGTTCCAAGTTAGAAAAAGGTCATAATAATTTAATAATAACAAGGGCTTAACAATCCCAAAGGTTCGGTGGTGATACCACCAATTGCTGTTAATGTTCTTTCATCCACTAACCAACGTCCAAACCCAACCTGCCAAATATATGTGTACAGTTCTTACTTTTTAAAAAATTTTTTTAATCTTATTTATTGAAAAATATTACAATCTGTCTCAAGGACATTTATAATAGTGTTCACAGATCACATTCACACTCTATGTACAGTAAATAAAATATATTCTACAGAAAAATAACATATATACAATAAATAAGAATAAAATAACCTAAAAATAAATCAATAAAAAGAACACATACATACCTATATATAATAAGTTCTTACTTTAACGCTATCCTCTTACCTTTGCTTACCATACGGCATATCCCATATTGATCTGTTAAGGGTTCTTTTGTTACTAATTCTAACAACTTTCCACGCTCGTTATATTTTCTGCAATGATCTAAATTAAATTATGAAGAGAATGATGGTTGGGTTGATCAGTCATAAATAAAAATGCAAAACTAAATAATAATATTTATTTTAACATTTGCCTACGTTACGACCAGAAGTTCAGTCCTTCATCAGGGCTAAGAAAAGAACCAGATAACAATGTATGAAAAACATAAGCAATGTAGGTAAAAAAAATTGAAGTGAGTAGAATTATGACAATAACAATAACTAAAGAAATTAATTAATTAATTATTATCTGGTTCTTTGTTTAGCCCTGATGAAGGCCTGAACTTCAAGTCGAAACGTCGGCAAATGTTAAAATAAATATTATTATATATTTTTGCCTTATTTCTGACTGATCACCCCAACCATCCTTCTCTTCATTATTCACGACAGTCAATCATCAACCCACAATTATAAATTAAATTATAATAACCGAATGGAGTTCTTCCGATTCGGTATTGTCTAATCATATAAAAACTCTTGTTGACTCATACTTCTTTGGTTCGAATATTCAACGGAACACTTAATTTTCCAAACCCATAAGACCTTCTTCATCCCCTAACGTTTCGTAAACAGAAAAAAACTGTAAAAAGGGTAATAGTTTTGTTAATTCTAATTTTTAAGCTTCGTGGTGGAAGGCTCGACAACTTAATCCCTGCAACAAAAATCTTGAAAATCTAAAATCCCAAAGTTATTTTGTATTGTCATTGTCATAGTGTACTTTATTTACCTTTTCAACGCAAGAATTACTATTCCAGAATAGTCAAGGCACCGTAATACTAAACCATCATTACAGGACCGTCGCCTGGGTTTAAGGCGCCCGATGAGATAATTTTACTGGTCCGTCCTCCATCTTTCAAATCGGCCAATATTGAATATTAATTTCCCTGAAATTAATATAATAATATATTATAATATAATAATATATGTATAATATAATTTAATATATAATTATATATAATATAATATTAAAATGAATATTATTTTAACATGTTTAAATGAAGAAAACAGATAAATTTTAAGGTATATAAGTAAGAATATTTTTTTCCCATTGATTTATTCTCCCATTTCTTCCACTCAATTGCATCATAACGTTTCGGGGTCCACTTATATCCCATCTTCAGACTAGAAATTACAACATATCGCTATCAACAATTATATATGAACAATAAAGCATTTATTAATACAACTAAAAACAACAATAATTTAATTTTTATTTCATTTTGCCAATCTTACCAATATCCCGCATAATCTTAATTCTCCATAAGACTTGTCATGTTAATTAAATTGTTTAATTTTGTCCTATTGCTAAAGATGTAGTAATTTTAATTTTATTATTTATTTAATTATTACTATTGTTATATGTATTTTACTTTTTTTCAATTTTGAATATATTACCTGGGAAATCACTGGGAAAAAAATATTCTTACTTATATACCTTGAAAATAAGTATCTCCCTTAGGATAAATGAAGATAAATTTTAAATCACGATGCGGCTTGCTGGTGATATTTTACCAAAGAAAAAAATATCGAAGCCAATTCAAATCGAGCCACAATAATTTACTTTTGTGGCAAATTCATGATTACAAGCAGTACAATTAAATTTTTTTCCTCAAACAAAAGAAATAACTTGATTTTAATTTACTAACAAAAAACATCGAGAAATTTTTGGTCTCTTAAACCCGGTTTTAGGTTATGAATTATCGGGTATCCAGCAATAGATG